AAATTCACTTGCACCCCGGCCGTGCGCCAAAGGCTTATTGGTAAAATCCCCGACTGACGCCAATTCATTCGGGTTTCGATCCTAGCACGAGGCAACCGGACGTCTAACCACACCGATGAGCTGTGATACGCGAGGCAGTCTGTGAATTAATTTTTTTTTTTTTTTTTTATTTTTTATTTATTTATTTATTTTTTTTTTTTTTTATTTTTTTTTATTTTTACTATTTATATTATTTATTATATATATTTATTTATTATATATATATATATATATATATATATATATATATATATATATATATATATATATATATATATATATTTATTTGAGTCAGTTTTTTTATATACACCTGGAAGTGGTGGTGGTAGAAAAACTCAATAAACTAGGTTTAACAGTTTACACCTAAAACCTTAAAGGCGCAGAGACGCTCAGCTTTAAATTTCGAATTTGCTGCCTCGTATAATTAGATGTTTAACATAACCTGTCTCATTCATTATGCTTTGCTTTTTATTATTGTAACACCAATAGTATTTTATTATTATTATTATTATTCTGGGGAATAGCGATATGTTGGATGATACTGGATGGCAATGTACATTTTCGATGCAATATTGTAACCTTTATCTGTTGCATTTTCGTATAGCCTCTATATATAGGGAGTCAATAATTTATAAGCACAACTTCTATAGTTTATTGAATCCATAAGAGTTAAGGTCCACCAATAGATCCCTTTGCATGTTAAAGAAATATTATTAAAGTTTAATTTATATATAGTTTACTCATTTTTAATTCACTTTCGTTTGTCATTTCAGGTAGATGCTAAAATTGGTGACTTTTAATTAAAATGGAAACAGCGCAAGAGAATACACTATTTGTATCATGATTCAGAGACTAACTATTATATGTAATTTTAGTATAAAATATGAACACTCAGCATGCTAGCATCTGTGTCTGGCACAAGAATATTATGGAAAGAGTAAGTGTTTTACAGAAAAAAAAATTAAGCAACGTCTATATGTCCTCCGTGCAACCAATGGGTCGCATTGTACTTATGTGTTTAAATAAAACTTTATTTGTTTTTACAGTAGACATTGTAGAGTTATTTTCTTTTTTAATTCTTTGTTAATATTTAAAATTGTACAAATAAAATATGGAATGCCTGTATATAATAATGAGTCCATCAATAAAGCCATTTCCCTGTTCTCTCACAAAATAAAATAGGTGGCCAACTATTTTTTCCTTTTTTCTATTCGATTTCCATCTATTAATCTGATAATATCTGATCAACCTTGTTCAACAAGAGACAAAGCTGTTTAAATACAATATTATACACACATCTCTCTCTCTCTTTTTGTACACACACACGTATATATATATATATATATATACGGATATATATATATATATATACGGATATATGTGTGTGTGTGTGTGCGCGTGTGTGTATCAGGTTGGTGAAAAAATGTCAGATTTCAAGGTCTATATTAAAAACGAAAAAGCCCATGATTATGAAAATATTTATTCGTTAACATAATCTACTTTGCTTTCTAGAACGTCATTCCTTCTGTCAACAAGCTTATAAATGCTACGCCTGTAAAATTCCTTAGGCTTTGAAGCAAAGTATGAATTCAACTCATTTTCAAACTCTCCTCTTGATGTCAACCTAAGACCATTCCAAATGATTCTCTAGTCCCCGAAACAAGTGATAATCAGCAGAAGCAAAGTCATAAGAATATGGCGGATGAAACAATATTTTCCAACCAAGCTCTTCCAAAAGATTTTCAGTCATCTGAGCTTTGTGAGGACGAGCATTATTCTGATGCATGATGAAAACCCTTTCTTTTCACTAAGTAATGTCGCTTTTTTCATTTAAAGCTGTTTTCAAACGATGAAGTTGATCACATTACAGATTAGCCGTAATTGTTTGATTGTTGTTTAATAGTTCGTAATGGACAATTCCTTCAATATCTCACCCATACACACTCAACAGGATCTTTTTTTGGATAAAGTCCCCCTCTTGTTTGTTGAACTGATTGTTTTCCTTCTCGATTGAACCAAGATCAGTGGCGTTTAACGTTATGGTAAAGCATCCACTTCTCATTACCTGTAACAAGTCTATCAAAAATTGGTGCGTGAAGGTGTCGGGTAATCAATGATTCACATCAACCAACACGATGTTGCAGATTCTCTGGAGACAGTTCGTTTGGGACCCACTTCCTAACGACTCTTAATGAGATTTCTAAATAGCGTAGCACGGTTGTATGTTATACGTTAAATTGTTCTTCAAGTTCTCTAGAGGTAATCCTGGGAGTGCCTGTGACAACAGGTTCCAAATCTTCGGAATCAAGTTATCTCGACGGCCCTCTTTTTTTACTCGTCTTTCAATCTGAAATCCCCTCTTCGGAAAGGGGAAAACCCCCTCCTGCAACTTCTATCCTTTACTGTATCATCCCCCCTAAGCACTCTGAAAAGACTTCGCTTAATACTTTCATGCTCTTTGAGACAGATCATCATCCAGTCTTCTTTAGTTTCCACGTATCTTTGAAGGCTAATTGTTGTAGTTTTGTAAGAAAGTTCTAGTTGAACTAATCCTCGGCCTCTTTCAGATCAGGCACGTACAGACGATCAACATCAGCTTTGGGATGATGCATGTCTTGGCATGTGAGAAGCTTTCTCGTTTTGAAATTCATTCGCTTAATGTCAGCTATGTTCCAGTTAAGGATGTTGAAACTGTACTGCACCACAGAGACAGCCATGAATTTCATGGCTGATATTCTGTTTCTTTTTCTTTCTTTCTTTTTTTTTAATTCAGCTTGGTATTTAGTGCCAGACGCACACGCCTGTAGGATTCATTTCTCACCTTCTCCTTCATTTGGATAGGCTATATTCCATCTCCGTTGCTGATCCCTAGGTACTTATAGGCTTCATCTTGTTCCGTTTCCCTAAACTTTGCGACAAAATCTAGATCTGTTGAATGTGTTTCTGTAATTCTCCCTTACTTGAATCTTACTTTTGCAGATTTCTCCAATCCGAAATCCATACCCGTGTCGTCACTGAAACATTTTACAGTATTGAGGAGGCCTTTCAACTCGTTGTCGTCTTTGGCAAAGAATTTGCGATCATCCATGTAGAGTAGGTGATTGAATACTTTCTTGTTTAGTTTGTAACCATAACTATTGCTGTTTAGTTCATGCGTAAGCGGGGTTAAGGATAGAGAAAACAGTAGGGGTGACAGGGAGTCTCCTTGAAAGATTCCATGTCGGATATTTAGGCAGTTGGAGACGACAAAGCCTCTGGTGTGATTTCAGAAAAAAAAATTAAAATTCTTGCTAATTCAAAACTACGTTGGAATTTCGCTGAGAAGGGGGCCTCTTTTCTGATCGTCATACGTGATTCACATTGAATTGTGAATACAAAAAAAAAGCGCGAAATTCGGACGCAGATTTTCAGATTCAGTATTCGCATAGGCCTTGAAAATTTGTCCCAACACAATCTTCAAACTTTCAATTTCTCCACGTTTGTCTTTGTGACCGGTTATAAATTAGGATTATTGCTTATCATTGTTGCAGTTTTTTGTGTATACTATGTAACTAGTGAGCTAGCCCAAATGACTTGACTCACTATATAGTCCACCAATAGAAGGTTAACCAATCAGAAGACGTAGAATATTCAATCCGTCATGTATAAAGGCAGCCATTTTGTTTACCCTACCCGAATGTCCAGTTCCAGCTTGTCAGGCGAAGAGGAACAGAAGGGGAGAACTACTGAACTACGCTCTGCTACTTAACCGGGATATCCACTGCTAACCTGAACAATGCTTCCCTACTGTCTTCGAAATATTCACTGCTAACCTCTGGATTCTATACTCAAAGACGACCGTCATCATGAACAACATTCATCCTTAAAAGACCTCTACAACTTGCTACGGAAAGGTTCGTGCGATTTTGGCATAAAAATAATAGTATCTAACCGCGACCTTCAATAGAAGCGATTTGCATATTGTTGTATATATTTTGCCCGTGCAAAGGCGTTGCCTATTACGAACAATTTGAATACGTTGTTTAAAACTCATGAGCGCCTTTTTTTTTTTTTCCTTTTTTTCTTCTCTTTTTGATAACACTATATTTCGGCCATTTGGCAGAGTGCCAGACAAAACTAAATTTAGAAAACTTCTATGTTGATTTGCGATCTCTTTTTCTTTCTCTTTGTCTTTCTATCAGATGTGTTTCTTCCATATATGATAGATATATTGATATCTTTTTTTCTGATTACGTATCTAAGCCATATCATTTCTTCCTCTGTGTCTATTTCATTGTATCCATCTATTTTTCTTTCTTTCTTTCTTTTTTCTTTCTTTATTTCTATCTATCTATCTATCTATCTATCTATCTATATATATATATATATATATATATTTTTATATTTAGGCAGCAATCCTTCCTTTATGCATGTTTCATTAAAAACGACAGACAAGCTACTACGGTTGAGCTTTTTATTTAATTTTTCTTGTGTTATGACAAGAGCTTTCTTTTCTGGACAAAGAGTGTGTAAGAACTGTCCGAATGTTCTGTATTTCCGAGCGCTTTCGGCTTTACCTTTAGCCATTATCAAGGATGATTCAATTATCAGCTTAGTAGAGTGTGTGTGTTCTGTGTATGTTCAGTGTGTGGTAGTGATGTTTTTAGTTTCCGAATACCGTTAGCACATTGTGGCTTTGTCCAGAAAAGAAAGCTCTTGTCAGAACACAAGAAAAATTAAATAAAAAAGCTCAACCGTAGTACCTTGTCTGTCGTTTTAATGAAACATGCATATATATATATATATATATATATATATATATATATATATATATATATATATATATATATATATATATATATATATATATATATATATATATATATATATATATATATATATATATATATTTCCTAGCAACATATCTATCTTTATCTGTTCCTATCTCTATTCATATATCTCTGTATACCTTTTTAGTATCTATGTTCATAACTCTCTCTATATATGTATCTATCACTATCTCTGTTCATTATTATTCGTATATATCTATCTATCTATCTATATTAGTTCCTATCTCTCTTCATTATCTATCTATACATCTGTCTGTCTATATGCGTTCCTATCCCTGTTCATATATCTCTATATATATTTGTTCGTATCTATCTATCTATCTATCTATCTATCTCGTTCTGTTCCTATCTCTGTTCATTATCTATCTATTTATCCAGTTGAATCTGTTGAGATCTATCTATTTATCTATCTATCTATCTATCTCGTTCTGTTCCTATCTTTGTTCATTATCTATCTATCTATCTATCTATCTATCTATCTATCTAGTTCAATCTGTTGATATCTATCTATCTATCTATCTATCTATCTATCTCGTTCTGTTCCTATCTCTGTTCATTATCTATCTATCTATCTATCTATCTATCTATCTATCTATCTATCTATCTATCTATCATACTTCTTATCTATTTCTTATGGTTTCCCTTTCTTTCTACCTTCTTATCTCTTGTTAGATTATCTATCAAATCAGTTCCTGTCCTTATCTATCCGGTTTTCTATCCACCCATTTATCAATCTATCAGTTCCACACTGAACAACCCCTACCCATACAGCTTGTGCTGTTCTATCTCAGCCCTTCTGAGGGCTGATAAGGACACAGGCCAGCCGTGACCACTAGAACTAATGAGGCGGAAAGATGAAAAGGACACAACTTTGATTGTCGCTTACTGAATTACATTGGGATTTGCCTTGCACCGGCAAGTATTTTTTTTTTTTTGTTCAGGATTGAAAGGCGGGAATCTTGCATTTTTTTCTTATTCTCTCCCACCTTTCTCTCTGCACACACGAGCAAACTCTCACACTCCCTCAATCTTCTTGCTGGTCTTTAGGTTATTTTTTTTTTCTGTTTTTTTTTTATACCTTTCATTATTTTCTGTGCACTCTCTCATTTTATCATTTCTTTCTTTCTTTCTTTCTTACTTTCTTTCTTTCTTTCTTTCTTTCATTCTTTCTTTCTTTCATTCTTTCTATCTTTCTTTCTTTCATTCTTTCTTTCTTTTTTCTTTCTTTCTTACTTTCTTTCTTTCTATCTTTCATTCTTTCTTTCATTCTTTCTATCTTTCTTTCTTTCATTCTTTCTTTCTTTCTTTTTTCTTTCATTCTTTCTTTCTTTCTTTCTTTCGTTTATATCTTTATTCTCCATCTTTTTTCTCCATTTTATGTTCTTTCATTTCTTTTCTTTCTTTATATATTCGTCTCTTTATTTTCGTTTCTGTTTTTCACGTATTCATATTTTTTTTCTTTTAACTTTTTTTTTTGTTTTTTTCTATCAAATATTTAATTTCCTTGTCTTTTTTTTACATCTTTCCTTTTTCTTTCTCTCTTCTTTCTTCTCTTTTCTCTCTTTTTCTCTCTCTCAAATTACATATATATATATAAAAAATTCGCTTGAAGATGAAAATGGAACTAATTCTTTTTGATTTAATAAAAAATTAAATTCCGGGTTTTTTTTCTAATTTTGAAACATGGTTGAACTGTTTTTTAAAAAAATATTTTAAATCAATTTTCTTTATAATATTTATATATATATATATATATATATATATATATATATATATATATTTTTTTATTTTAAACTTTCAAAAAAAAAATCATATCATTCAAATCTAAATTACCACTTATTTTTCATAAACCTTTTTTTTTTTTGCATACATTTTGTTTTAAAACACTAGTCGTTACGACACGCACACATACATACCATACAAGATAAATGTAGTTACTTTTATTGTTTTTTTAAATTTTAATATAATACATAGTATATATTATGGAGAATTATTCATTTATATATCACATATTGTTTATTAAATAAATTTTATCACTTGATCAGACCACAGGCACGCACGCTTTTTTTTAATAATATACCATACAAAAAATGTTTTTGCATATATATATATATATATATATATATATATATATTATATTTTTTTTTTATAAAACAATATATATGTATGAAGAATGAATATATATACACATACTAACTAAACACACATACATAATACAGAAGATGATTTTCAAGGGTTTAAAGATTTTCTTGAAATTTTTGAGAACAAAGACTTATTCCTTTTCGTTTTTTTTTCGATTCCTAATTGATTTATTACCCATTAATTTTATTCTTTCCATTTTCCGTTAGACCAAGAAGAATTTAGATTACTGACAATGGATAAACATAAGAAAAATTAATTCCTTCAAATTCCTTTATCTATGTAAATAATCTATGGAAACAACAATTCTTCGACTGATGAAGGTCACAGAACCCGAAACTCGTGTAGTATAAAATATAGAAAATAAGGTATAATATATAAAAATATCCACATTATAATCAAAAACCTTTTGCGATTTTTTTCTTTTTCAAAATTATATATATATTTATATATATATATATATATTTTTTTTAAATTGTTTTATGTTTAACATATTTAAATTTTTTTTTTAATTTGAACGCAGATTTAAAAAAAAATTAGCATTTTTATATATTTATTCTATCTGTTTCTATTTATTTCATTTTTATATATATTTTTATATATATATATATATATATATATATATATATATATATTTATATATTATATATATATATATATATATATATATATTTATATATATATTATATAATATTATTTTAAACTTAATTCATGATTTTTGAATAAAAAATCAAATAAAATTTTTTTATTTGTTTCGATGCCTTTTACTTATATATCTTATCAAAATGTGAACAAAATGGTTAAATTTTTTATTTTTTTTTTTTTTTTATGTAAGAAACTTAAAAAATTTTTTTTTTTTTTTTTTTTTTTTAAAATTTTTTTTTTTTATATTTTTTAAAAGGTAAGAAAAATAATAAAAAATTTTTAAAAAAAAAAAAAAAAAAAAATAAAATTAATAAATATGCTGTTAAAGTCAAAAAATGAAAAAAATTGAAGAAAATAAAATTTTTTTTTTTCAAAAAAAAAATGAAAAAAAAAAAAAAATTTAAATTTCTTTAAAAAAAAAATTTTTAAAATAAAAATTTTTTTTTTATTTAAGAAATTATAAAAAAAAATTCATAAAATGAAAACGAAATTTGAAAAATATCTTATCAAATTAACTAATATTAAAAATGTAAAAAAAAAAATAAAAAAAATTTTTTTAAAGATAAAAAAAAAAAATTACAATTCAGCCATTTGAAAAAAACGTTAACTTTGATTGTAGAAGACATTCAAAATTTTCACATCTTTCCAGATTTTATTGTCAAAGAATAGAAATTTCCTATTTTAGATTATATTTATTTAAGTTTTAAAGTTTTTTTGAAATTTTTAAACATATTGTTTAACAAAATTAAAAATTATGTAAAATTTTAAAGTCACTTTAAGAAAATTTAAATACATTTAAAAATAAAAATAACAAATTAAAATATACAAAACATAACAATATTTAATTTAAAAATAAATTCTATAAAACATAAATTTTTTAGAATATTTATATGATTTTTTTTTTTTAAATTTTAATTTTTTAAACCTTTATAATTCGTAATAAATTTATTCAATTTTTTTTTTTTTGAAATTATTTAAGTAAATTTACGAGTATTTACCTTTTAAAGAAATTTTTATAAAAAATTTAGCAAGATTTTTTTTTTTTAAAATCTTAATGTTCTTAAATTCATGGAAAAAAAAAATTCAAAATTTCTTTTTTAACAATTCAAATGTTTAATTATACTCATTTTCTCCTGTATTTATACATTTTATAATGTTTATATAAAGATCTAAAGTTCTGGCCTGTTTTAAATCTTCCATTTAATTTTAAATGTTTCTTGTTTTCTTCTTCCAATTTTTTTTTTATTTATAAAAAAGAAATATTGCGTTTTTTGGCATTAGTAAAAGATTACAGATGGTTATAAATTTTAAATAAAAATCATTTTATTATACCAATACACAACCTTAATATTTCATATTATTTTTTTTTTATGAAATAGATCATTTATATACAATGGATTCTGTTAAACATTTGTTAAATATAAATATATTTTTTTTTTGTATTCCTCTTTTTTTAATTTTAAACAGATTGGCAAAAAATGTCTTCATCTATAAAAATTTCTACCATTATTTGTATTTATCTTTTACCATTATCTTATTGATGATCAATTAAAAATACCATAAACAAATAATAACTTTTAGTGCGGATCTTTATATTCAAAACACAGTAATAATGATATTCGAGTTAATATTAAAAACGATTAAGATGCATCGAGAGTTTAACGTATATTAATAAAAAAATTTTTTAAAAAGAAATTTTTTTGATAGTTTTTGGTAAAAATTTCTATCCGATTAAAATTTGTTTGATATCATTATGTGTATCTTGAAAAAATTATAATGGAATAAATTTGATAAAAATGATGACGATGCAGAAAAAATCGAAATACTAAAAAATTCTTTTCAATTTTTTTTTTTTTTTCATTTTTCGTGGAAGAAGATTGAATTGAAAATTTGGTGTCAATAATGTTTTCTATAATTTTTCGATAAAAAACAAATTTGTGATTTCTTTGAGTTTTGAAGCAAAAAAAAACGTAAAAAATATATGTATAGATATAAAATAAAAAATTCAAACATCGTTTTTATTTTTTTACTAAATTAATTTTTTCATTGAAAATTTTAAAATTGTTATTTTATGCAATTCACATTTTTTATAATTATTTAAAAAAATAAATAAAAAAAAATTATATATAAAACATTAAAAACATTTTTTTGTATAATTAATAAATATTGGGTAAAAATCCGGATTTTTATTTATATTTAATAAAAAAAATTAATTATAAAAAAAGAAAAATTTTTTTAAATGAATGTTTTTAATCTAATTAAAAAAAATTTAAAATTTTGCATTTTTTTTTTTTTTTAAATTAAATTTGAAAAAAAATTTCATACTCTTCATCATCGAAATATTTTAATTGATCTTTCAAATCATCAATGTTGGATATCCTTATCAAAAACTTTCGTTTCCTAAATTAAAGTTATTTCCATCTTGTTAAAAATAATTTCGAAAATTTAATTTTAAAATTTTGAAGAAAATTTTAATTATAAATAAATAAATAATATATTTTATATTATTTTTTAGTTTAGTATAACGTTTATTGTTTATATTTTTAAATATAATAAATATTGAAAAAACAAATGCCTTTAAAATGGAAAATTCATGAAAATAGTTTTCTTTTAAATTAATTTTGTCATTCCAAAGGTATTTTTTTGCTTTTTTTTTTGAAAAATTTTTTTTTTAAAAAATTTATAATCATATGTCATTGAGTTCATTTTGAAAGAAATTTTTTTTTGAATATCGAATTTTCATTGCATTTTATTTAAAATTTTTTTGAATTTTAGAATTAATAGTTTAAAAGTTTTTTTTAATATGAAGAAATTTAAAAAATTTATCAAAATAAAAACAAATTTACTGTAGAGTTTATTAAAATCTTGAATTCTTATCTAAAAGACAATTTCAAATTCGAATTTAGACGAGTTGAAATGTCATTCTATCAAAGAAAATCATCTGTGATAACGATGAGATTTTCAAAGTTTTGGGATGGATATAAAATTAAGATTTCAGCATAATATCCAGAGTTTTTTGATTTTTCAGCTGTAAATTTTCCAAACCTTTTAAAAAAAAGCTTCTTTGAAATTATTGAAATTTTTTTCTTTCAGGATATTTTTCATATGAATAAAATTCAAACAAACAACACAAAATTTACAATTTGACACAGTACTGATAGCATTACATGGAAAAAAAAAGCAAAAATCTCCTTTTTTTTAGCGATGGAGAGAGGAAGAAAAAGGACTAACATAAACTACAAGAAGACAGAATGCATGGTCATCAGTAAAAGGATGAGCCCAAATGCGATTTGCAGGTCGGGAACACTAAAATCAAGCAGATGCGGATATTTAAATATCTGGGAAGTTTTTTGACAGAGGACGGTAAATGCGACACTGAGATCCGTAGACGTATTGGGATGGCCAAGGACACATTCCAAAAAGCTGGGCAGAGTATTGCGAGACAGGAGGATTTCTTTGGTAACAAAGAAAAGAATACTGAGCTGTTACGTGACATCTGTCCTTCTTTACGGCAGCGAATGTTGGACGATTTCCTCAAAGATGAAGAAGAGACTCG